CAAACGATTTTGGATGGCTCTACTTCTGGAAGAAAAAAAATATCAAAAGATGTACCGCAAGGATCGGTTATTGGACCTCTACTATTTTTAGTATATATTGATGATTTACCTAATGGCATAGAAAGTGTTGTGAGATTGTTCGCAGATGATGTTATTCTCTTAAATCATCACAAAGCTCCAGCTTTCTGCGAGCAAAGTCTAAACCGAGATCTTCAAAAAATAGAAGAATGGTCAGAAAAATGGTATATACCTTTAAACCCATCAAAATGCGAGTCAATTACTTTTTCTACGCAATAACAAAGTTATCATCACAAAGATACATCATCTTTTAAACCGTTGTTATTGAACGGTTCACCTATCGCAGGAAAAGAAGAAGTAAGATATTTAGGTCTACTGCTATCCTTCGACTTAACATGGACAAGTCATATTAACAAGGTTCTGCTTCAAGTATCTTCTATAGTCGGTATAATGAAACTTTACAAACATACACTACGGAAAAATGTTCTTGAGATTATTTATAAGTCTTGTGTTTTATTAGTTTTAAATTATGGCTCAATAATTTACTCACTGACTCCAGAGACGAACCTCTTTAAGTTAGAAAGTCTACAGTATCAAGCGGCGTTAACTGTCTCAGGAGCTATGAAAGGTACATCGAAAGAGAAGTTATATGAAATATTAGCATGGATTAATTTAAAGAATCACTTTAAAATTTTGCGATTGTTGACTTTCGCAAAAATCATAAAAGGATTAGCACCTCTCTACTTAACTTCTCATCTACAAATTCGCCAACCGAATGGAACCTACGATCTACGCAGTAGTCAGCGATCCTTTTTCTATATAACTCTAAATAGTACAGATAGAGACTTTTGTTACTGTTATTGCGCGAGAGTGGAATGGCCTTACATTGAACGACACGAATTTATCAGCTATGAAAATATCTAAATTACGCGATACTTTAAAAGGTCAGTATATGTCAACGGGTGTTTTTTCTAAAAAGTTAAGGTTTTCTATGCGACGGGAGGAAGTGATCTTCATGCGGATAAAGGCAAATTTTCCACCGCTAAATTACTATCTCCACCGGCGTAGTTATACAGATTCACCTAAATGTAATTGCGGAAATAATAGGGAGGATATCCAGCATTATTTTTTGCACTGTTCCCTATATGATACTCAACGACAAGTGCTTGCACTAAAACTTTCTTTTATGCCTGCATTCTCAGTTGACACCTTGTTAGTGAATGGCTTAAACTTTGATCATGATACTTTAACATGTATACTGGATGCAGTCCTCTTGTATATTCAACAAACGAACAGATTTAAATAACTACAGACATAGTGGTTTTCAATTTCCAATTTTATGATATTCATCCTTGCCTTGTCGTCTAGTCTCACTTCTTAGTTTTTTATATTGCTACTCTTTTGTTTTTCTTATCCATAATTCCCTTCTGTGAGCACCTACGGACAACATCTTTATTATTGTTAGGTCCATAATGGTCTTTGACCGCTAACCTTTTCTTTATCAGAATCAATAAAGATATACACCAACATGTAAGTCATTCTTTACAAGCGTTCTTAGCAAAACGTTTAAAATCACTTTCCTCTTTTCAAAGTTGTGAACGGACGTATTTTGTAATATCGTCTTTTTGTTTCTTTCTTCTAATATAACTGTACATTAGTACGTACACGTGGTGTACGTGTATGTACATGTGCTTTTTAAATCAAATTGAAAACTTACTGGCATTATTAACAATTTATTAAAGTAAATTAATAATTTTTTTTTTGTATAATTAATGGCGGCATATGATGGTTATAAGAAATCTAATAAAATAAGAGATGAGAAGGAAGATATTGTGAATGGAAATCGTATGAGACGAATATTGGATAGTTATGAACAAAAACCGAAAATGAAAAGACATCTTTCTAATAATGAAGAAAGTGTAGAGAATAATGGTGAATGGATACAAGTGAATAGTAAAAGAAAAGTTCAAAAATGCGAGGTAAATCAACGGAATCAATTATCTGATTTTGATGAAGAAGATTACGATGAAAGATTGGTTAACAAAGTATTGACAAAAAAGAATCATACAACAAGAATAATTAGTAACTCAAATATAACGACAGCGTCATCAATTGAGCGGTCTAAATCTATTAATAAACAACATATTAACAATGTAAGATATAGCAGTGATGACGATGGGCAAAATAGTAGTGAAATATCATATCAAGCATTGAAGTATGCATCGGATAATTCATTAGCTCCAGTGAAAATTGTATGTGAACCAAAATTACAAAAACAAAATCAAGGTATGGCTGTTATTCAACAACTCTTTAAGTATATAGAAGTTGATTTTCGTCGAAATTATCCACACTTAGGAACTAAAGCCCTGGGATTTGAACATTGGTGGATTAATCGAAACGAGGATTTAATGGGAATAACTAAGTGTATTGATATGTATATTTATTTATGTGATTCAAAACATTATCCGTTGTCAATAAATAATATTCAATTAAAGCCTATATTACCAAAACATTTACCTGCGCAACTTTCAGTACTGATAAAATTTGTTGATAATTATATTTCAGTTGACGAAGTTAAGACTGAATTAGAAGGTCAATTCACAGAAATTTTTGCTATTGTTGACATCTTTGGAAGTAAAAATATGAGAAATAGACATGTACGAATGGATCTAGCGTCAAAAAGTGAATATGAAAATATACTAAACTCAGGCAAAGTTTCAATTTTTGGACAATTGTATGATGCCTACGAGTTTCTCTCACCACCAAAATTATTAATATGCTCGAAATGTAACTCACCTGGGCATACGAAGAAAAACTGTAGATGTGACATTGAAGTTTGCCGACGATGTGGCAGTGATCGTTTAAACGGTGATCATATCAACTGTATAATAAAATCTCATCACTGTGAAGATGAGCATCTGTCGACGAATTATGTATGTCCAATTCTAACTCAATATCGAAAAGATCTAGTAGCTGAGTTAAAACGAAGACCAGATCTGATTCCAGAAGATGTGCAACTCTTTATCCCAGGTGAATATCGAGTGAACGACAAAAACAACAGAATTTTAGGAAATTATAATAATAACAATTTGAAACAGCAGCAGGAAATACAATAGCAGGAATACAATAATTATACGAATATAAATCCTTGGACGAGTGGTTATTCAGCACTCACAATTCCAGCATATAAACAACATCAAGAGTTTAGTTTGAAAATGAAATCGATAAATGATGAATTAGAGGAAATAAAACGTGAACATGTGAAAGATAAAATATCATTTAAACGGAGATACGACAACCAATTAAAGAAAACAAATCAGGAAATTGATATATTATAAACACAAATCAAAATACAAAATGAAATGATTAAAGACATGTACACCGCAGTTATTGAAATTGTACCACCTATACATCAGACAATAATAGCACTGGGTAGAGTAATTGAAATGGACAATGGTGATAATGACAACGAAAGTATTCAATTAAATTATAATAAAATACTTCATGAACTATCAAAAACATCAGAAATGGTACTCGATCGTACCGATCTACTTCAAAAACATCATGAAAAGTTAATGGGTGTTAGGAAAAAACAAAATGAACTTCTGGTAACAAGTTTAGTTGAAATATCAGATACTGAAAATGTCTAGTGAGCACAGTTTTTATTCGTTGCAATTGAGTAATGATTTAATCAATGTGTTTGAGGGCCCTCACTTATCTAAAGCTATACTTACTGATATGTTTCATGAGTGGAATGAAAAACAGTCGATATCCTCGTTGTGTAAAAATTGGAAAAAAGAGAGACCTACTGATGATAATGAAACACTTCTTTTCTTGTTGTATAATGTTGAAGGTTTAAACACGCATATCGCGGATATTGATATTCTCGTCTTAATCTATGTTCCGAAGATCTGTATGCTAACAGGAATAGGCGCAGCAGTGAGAAAGCTACCTAAGATTTCGTCGTATTACTGAATAAGCCAAGCAGGTACTAATTCATATGGCGGTGTTGCCTTTTTAATACACACATCAATAAAAAGCGTTGTAATCGATAGAGAAGATAATTTTCTGCTCATTGAAGCAGATTTAAGTCCAGATCCCATTTTCGTGGGAGTCGTTTATGTACCACCAAAGTCTCCTCCTCCATTTCATATTTTTCAAAGATATTTAGGTAAGCGTTTTTATATTTTTGGGGATTACAACTCAAAACATACGCAATGGAACTGCAAGGTTAATAATCAAAGTGGAAGTCAGCTTTTAGACTGGCTTGAGAATACAGGATCCGAAATGATAGTGTCGTCAAAACCGACTTCGCGTAAATCAGACGCGATAATCGATTTTGGAATTACAAACGATTCAGAGGGTTGGAAAATAGATGTAGTCGATGAAGGTACCTCTGACCATTTTCCAGTAGTGATTCAATCCCCATTTTCTACATCCGATAAAGGTATATTTCGGAAGACAAATTGAGATATTTACACATTTTTTCTTCAATGCATCTTTCCGGAATGGAATTTAAGTATCTACAACAACGATCAAGAAGCTTTTGCCACGATTTTTTCAGCATTTCTAGCTGCCCTATGGGATAGGGTGAGTGGGTGGAAACCAGTTAAACAATATAGACCACCGTGGCCGATGTATCTAGTGCAGCTAGCAAGAAAACAAAATAGATTTAAAAGAAAATATAGAAGAACGCGTTTTTTACAACATCTAAATGAATTTCTATACTGGAAAGATATTTACTTCGCGGAGAGATCTTTTATCAACAATCGCAGCGTGAACGGAAAACGAAGTGGACGTCGACTGGGCAGAATATTTGGAAATTTGTACACTCTACATTTCATCCATTTACGCCTCCCTTTCGTGGGTTAAAGACAACACATGGGATAGTTAGAGACCCTCAAAAAGTAGTTGATATACTTGCGAATTTCTTCGAGAAACACTTTGAAGCCCCAGCGTAAGATAAAAGTAATATTTTTCACATGAAAGCCATCGAAGACTATGAAGAGATATCATATCTTCCAGATTATCCTCTGGATAAAATTAGAATGGACGAAGTGATACAACAGTGGAAAAAGTTTAAGTGTAAGAGAGCTATTGATAGTGCAGGAACAGCTGCTCTACTTTTTAAAAATTTACCAACTGAATATCTAAATGTTATTACCGTTCTTTTTGACAAATGTGCAAAAAAGGGTTTGTGTCTGAAAGAAAGTAAATATGCGAAGGTAATATGTTTGTCCAAAGATGGACTTTACCCAAAAGAAAATAGATTAAGACCTATATCATTACTTCCCAATCTTGGAAAATGGATGGAGCGAATTGTTCATGATCGTTTGATAAAATGGTGTGATGCAAAAGGAATTCATGTTGATGAGCAGTCTGGGTTTACACCGGAAAGAAGGCTTCAAACTAGAATAATCTCAATGTGTGACGATCTAAGATTAACAATTACAGCTCCTAACCGCCCTGCTCTTATACTTTTTGTTGACTTTATGAGCGCATTTGATCGTGTATGGTACCCTGCACTTATACACAACTTGAAGGAACTAGGGCTTCCGTCGCAATTGCTGAGATGGATCTATAACTGGTTACAAGATAGATCTATGTCAGTGTATTTTGGTGATGCGGTATCTAGAAAAGTTAAAATTTCTGTCGGAGCACCGCAAGGTTCTATATTAGCTGCTACGCTATTTCGTTTGCATGTATATTTTCTGCCAAAATATTTTGCCCAGTTTACCATGCATCTCTTTGCGGATGATCTTGCCATTATCATCTATGGGGCCTTAGAAAAAAGGTTTTCGGATAATACCATCCAATTAGAAATGCAAGCTAAAATTGCATTAGAAATATTAGAGAAATTTGCTGACAATATGATCTTACCAGTAAATGTTTCAAAAACGAAAGCCATGCTCGTTCATAATGTGGTCGCACCTCAGCTACCAGTAGTTGAATATAAAAGAATTGTTATAGAATTTGTGTTAATATTTAAATATTTGGGAATAGAAATTCGAGCTAAATTGGGATGGGGAATCTATATTCAAAACAGAGTTGCAATAATTAGAAATGTGTATGCCGCATTACGTATATTATTTTACTCAATTTCAAGAAAAGACGAGAAAATAAGAAGAAAACTGTTCTTAGCGTTTGCTCTCCCACACTTCATTTGGCTTTTCACTACCTGGTTTTTCTTTACAGTGGAACAACAGGATCTAATTGAGCACGTATATATGACTGGCCTGAGACTAATATATGCACTGGAAGGATGGGATGATTTTACCACATTAGTACTAAGTAGAGAACTGTCACTTTTTCGTTTTAAATATGAATTATTGTAAATATCAGTTTTGTTAATATTGTTACTTTAAGTTGGTTCTAGTTAACAGGAAAGACTAACACAGGAATTACTTTTTTTTTTGAACATTCTATTACACTTTTTTTTTGTGATCATATTTCTCTTTTACTTATGTATATATTTGTCTTTGTGAACCTTTTGGCACAAATAAAATGACATGAATTGAAAAAAAAAAACGTTTAGAACCAGGTCGCCGACGTGCTAAAGAACATCAACATCATATAAAAATATCACTCAATGAATATAATTATTTAAAATCAATTGGAATAAGATCGCAACATACATCACAAATGGCTTTTTTTACAAATTTAAAAATTGTTGAAAATTTAGTTTTTGGAAAATATAAAGACAAAGTGTGTTATGTTTCTGATTTTGAATGTAAAGTCAAAAAAAGCAATTCCGTTAAGTGTGAAACAGAAAATGGTAATCAGTTCAAAGTTACTGGGCACTACTTATTGCACATGAAAATACTTCGTGCAGAAAGAAGCTGTCCAATAAATTAAACAGTTCTGTCTTATTTTACGAAAATAGTTGTTAGATGTCATGTATATATATTTTTCTGTTCAAGATTAATAAATTATGTTTCATCTAAGAATTAGACCGGTTTGCATATCGCCGTCTTTTCCTCATCCTATTTGTAAGGTGAAAAATACGGATACATTACAGAAAGACAATATATGTAGTTTATGTGCTTTAGGTATATATTGATATATACCGACTAATTATTTCCAAAAACAATATAAATTCTTGTTCATTTCGTTCTTTAATGAACCAAACATTCTACATATTTTTCTTCTGATAATTATCTCTTTAAGCTTTTCGATGCACATTAATTTAAAAGATCTGACTACCATGGCCCGAAGAGAAAGCCGGAAAGTCATAGTAGTAGAAAAATGTTGTTTCGGAATTGATCATCGACATTTAACTTCAAATTTAAAACCTTTTTCCAGGACTGATTGAGAAGCTTACCCAATTACACACCAAAATTATGCTTTTTTCGTGTGTTCAACAGTGATAAAGGCAGCTCGATATATTAATAAATCTGAGGTGCATTTTGTTGAAAAATATTTCAACATAATGTTCAAATTCTGTACTTAAAGGCCGCGTGATAAGGGGAGAAGTATACTGTCTAATTAATGATATTCTAATTGTTTAACCTGGCAGATTATGAATTAAATTAATCATGATACTCTCTTCTCAAACAAATTACTCTCTTCTCAAACAAATTCGTTCTAAAACTGCCTTCATTGATACAATTCCGTCATATCTAAGACCTATTTATGACTTGCAATATTTAGCATCTCTGACTGTTAGTGGAGCAATGCATTTATCATCAAGAGTAAAAGTGTTTAAAATTTTAGGTTGGATTCCGTTAGAACACATCTATGCAATTAACAAAATAATTCTTTTCTTCAAAATAAAAAATGGTCTCACATCCACTTTTCTCTCTACACGTATTCCTAAACAACCAATTGTTACAACATCTTTACGCTCAAGAGAGAGAGGTCAAGTAAACGTATTTCGTACTCGCACAGAAAAATTCAAAAACACTTTTTTTCCTTGGGTTGTGAGACAATGGAATATATTGCCTGTCGAACTGCAAAACA